CAGCCCCTTTCGATTCTTGGAGCTACCGGTCCGATCTTGCCCTACACGCTTGTCGTCTATGATCTGGCAGTTGCCGTGGACGTGGAATTCATGCCGTTTTATTTCTGGACATGCATGTGGTGCTCCCTTTTCACCGTCCTGGTGGCAGTCTTCGACTTGTGTGCTCTCATGAAGCACGTCACTATGTTCAGCGAAGACATCTTCGCTGGATGCTCAGCGATATATCATATGTGTTTAATTGTTTAACATTGACGGTTTCTGGGTTTGATTATAATGCGAGTAATGTGAAAAATGTTATGCTAATCCCTGAGTGTTATTGACAAACCTAGGATTAATCTCGCTTATCTTCATCATCGATGGAGCCCGGCCGATCATTGAGAATTTCACAGAAAGCAGGCTGACGCTGACGAATTGCATGTTTGAAGCTCTCTTGTTCATCTGGACATTTGGCTTAGCGACATACTTNNCGCCGAAGCCCTTGGACCTTCCGTTTCGTTCGCAACTTTGCAGCCAATTTCGCAGTGACCATTGCCTTGGTGAGTGGCTCCGGGTTGGCCGCCATTTACTCCAACGACACAGGCCTGAGGATGTTGCAGGTGGACGCGGACTTCTCGCCAAACTTGAGCTTGTCCGATGGCAGCAAGCGGCCGTGGATCATTAATCCCGCCGGCATGGACCGCTCCTTCCCAGCTTGGGGCATTGCCTATGCGATCCTCCCGGCGACTTGATAAGAGGACGTGTTTTTGGTTTCGTGTAGATTGACACTGTAAGGTTGTACTCGTAGGGAACATAATTAGCACAACCGAGGCGATTGGCTTTGCAGTCTTGGGTTACCTGGATCAGAATCTCACGTCTGTGATCGTGAACAGACCATCTAACAATCTGAAAAAGCCGGCTGCTTATCACCTCGACTTGTTACTGCGAGGCTTTTAGGTATCCTTTTTAACTTCTTTTGACTATTGGTGTTGAGGTTTCCTTGTATTTTCGCAAAGGGCGTCCATAAAGAAGCATCCTTTCTTCTTTCCTTCTTAAGACGGGTTCAGGTTCATTCGTGGAGCACTCACGCTGCCCATCTGTGCTGTGCTTGGTCTGCCCCTGTCCGTGGCCTCCACGGTGCCGAGCATCACCCACGTGATCTCGTTGACCACTTACGAAGTGAAGCAACTTCCGGAAGGCGAGCGCAAGGTGCCTACGAAGGTGGTTGAGCAGCGTGCTACTAACTTCTTGACTCTTGGCAGCTGAACGAATACAAATTGCACGTGTTGGGATAATGTTATCCCTTATAAAACTGAAACTTTCATCTTCGGGGGCCTGTGAACTCAGCAACTAAGGATTCACGTGCTTATTGGCTCAGCACTCTTCCTGGCGCCAGTGCTGAAGTTCCTGCCGCGGGC